GATACACAAGAATATAAGAAAAACCTTGAATTGTTTGTGGAACAAAGAGCAGGATACCAACATTGTTTATGTCAGGATGAGACCTCTCAATGACAAATATGATCACTTTAGAAATTGTAACAATAAAAGCAAGGAAAAGACCAACACTCATTCTAGTCAGCATACTCGGAATATACTTGTAGAAACAAACTCTGATAAAGAATAAATAAAGTAAAGTTAGAATGACTGAGCAAAAATAGAACTGAGAATCTGTTACTGCTAAGCAAGTTGGTAATGTAAAACCATCAACAGCAGACCAGTATAAGTCATCACTGAGAATAAAGGCCACAAAACCAATGAATAATGGTAGCATACGAAATACTGTCTTCACATCTTCTACCTCTTCCTCTGTGAATGGTCCACCATATTTATCCTTACCCAGGTCTAGTCTTGAAGGAACCTCTTCCTCCCAGTAGGTCAGAGCACTACGATTCTCAGGATACTTGTGCTTCCTGGCATAACACAATACTCTAACTATCAGTTTGATGGGATTCTTGATCAGTGATATGTCCTCCAGTTTATGTTTGAAGAATGAATGAGACACCAGTACAAGAGACACAGATACACCTGATACTATGAAATTTATCATGATAAAATACTTCTTAAATATACAATGAAAAAGATGATAAAGAAAGTTCAAAAGTGGTTCAGATAGTATATGCCAGTATATGACAGAATTGAGTTCATCAGCTGAAGCTCCAACAAGTTGATCAATGTTATACTGAATAATGTTAGCAGTGAAACTACAAAACCCACTGGACAGAAATATAATAACTAAAGTGTAAATACAATATAGTACTGTTTCAGAGGCCAAGTAGCTATCCACAATAAATCCAATTCCTAATATAATCCATGATATAAAACACAATACTATACCAATCAGTATAGCTTTAAACCTTCCAATCCGTACATCAGCTAACAGACCAAATAAAGGAAAGAAAAAACTTGCTGAGCAAGACACAATCAAAAGACCATACTTGTACCAGGTGGAAGGAAAAGTTTCAGTTAAGTAGCTAGCAATAAAATGTTTTATTAAGAAACTATGAGCATACATGAGGTAGTTCCATAATAGAACCAAAACTGCTGGAGGAGAAATACAAAGAAATGGTTTCCAATTCATTACCAAAGAAATAAGAAAACATCTCACTATAGCTGTAATTATCAAACTAGTCACTAAAGAATAAAGTTGAACTTGAAAGAACAAAAATAAGCATTGAACAAAGGACTATCAGGTTTAGAGTTTGAATATGTCATATCATAGATATGGTAGTAACACTTATAAAGAAAGCAAAGAAATAACAAACCTGATAACTAAAAGCGAAGCCAAGAAACTTTCCTAAACCTTATTTTACGCAATGATATGATGTACAATACTATAAAACATAATGAGTAAAATACTGTATAAGTGGTTTTTTAGAGGGTTGCAAATTTCTTGAATTTCACGGATTCCCCCTGATTTGCGAATATAAAATCTGCAAAAATCAATTTAATACAATACCTGCATCGCACACATGGTAGAATTTGCGAAAGTAAAATCGGCAAATTGGAACATTAGTAGATTTTGCAAAATATAATTTCCTAAAAAAACCACTTATACGATATTGGTTTAAGCTAGTACATGTATAATGACACAATTATAGGCTGTATTGTACCTATATAAAATGTAATATAAAATACTGTATACATGTAGTGCTTTAATTTGGTGGAGTTATATTTTGACGATTGGTAGTTTGCAAGCTGAATCACCAATCATATTAATGCGCATGCTTAGTAATGCATGTGTATGTGTACACAAGCATAATACAAATATGTCAAAATGTATAGATGCACATTTAGTTCTTCTACATGTTACATGATGAGTGCATGTAATTATTCAAACACTAAATCAAATACAACCCAAACAATTAGTGCTAATAGGCTTTAACAGTATGATCTTGACCCTCAAATTAAAGCGTCACATGTAAAATGACTGGTAGATTCTATAAGGCAGTCTGCAAAAAGATTGGCTGAAGTCCAAACTCTAGCCAGAAGATATACAACACCAAAAGTATAATCCAACCATCACTCCTCTCATGTGTACTGGAGACTGAGCTACTGTAAACTCCAATAATACTGGATACACAAGCGGCTAATTTGCATTTCAAATAATACAATTGATTTCTAAAGCAGCACAATACTAAAATGTAAAAACAGTTTATTTAAAACTTAATTGTAGTCCACCGTCCTTATTAGTGCACATGCAGTCGGCATACTGTCAATCACTGGAGGAGTCACTGTCAGTGTCACTACCAAATTGTTCCCTTTGTTCCATGTATCTCTGATAATGATCATCAACTATCTGAACAATATTAACTTCATTCTCTCTCCCACGATACTTGTAGCATTTAGCCAGTATCACAAACACTATCAGTATGATAAGAACTAGTACACTCTTTGTTATATAATAATAGAAACTGGTACATAAGGACTGACTCTCACAAGCAAATGGAAACTTTAAAAAACTGTTAATGAGATAACCAATTCCCCAACAAGCTACATACCACAATCCAACCATCACTCCTCTCATGTGTACTGGAGACTGAGCTACTGTAAACTCCAGTGATACTGGATACAATAATATAAAAGAGAAACCTTGGATAGTTTGTGGAATAAAGAGCAGTATACCAAATTGCTTATGTCAGGATGAGGCCTCTCAATGACAAATATGATCACTTTAGAAACTGTAGCAATGAAAGCAAGGAAAAGACCAAAACCCATTCTAGTCAGCATACTGGGAATATACTTGTAGAAACAAACTCTGATAAAGAATAAATAAACTAACATTAGAATGACTGAACAAATAAAATACTGAGAGTCTGTTAATGCTAAGCAAGTTGGTAATGTAAAACAATCAACAGCAGACCAATAGAAATCATCACTGAGAATAAAAGCAACAAAACCAATGAATAATGGTAGCATACGAAATACTGTCTTCACATCTTCTACCTCTTCCTCTGTGAATGGTCCACCATATTTATCCTTGCCAAGGTCTAGTCTTGAAGGAGCCTCTTCCTCCCAGTAGGTCAGAGCACTACGATTCTCAGGATACTTGTGCTTCCTGGCATAACACAATACTCTAACTATGAGTTTGATTGGATTCTTGATCAGTGATATATTCTCCAGTTTGTGTTTGAAGAATGAATGAGACACCAGTACAAGAGATACAGATACACCCGATGCTATGAAAGTGATCATGAGAAAATACTTACTACTATAAAATAAGCAATGAAGAAGATGATAAAGCAAGCTCAAAAGTGGTTCAGATAGTATATGCCAGTATAAGACAGAATTCAGTTCATCAGCTGAAACTCCAACAAGTTGATCAATGTTATACTGAACAATGTTAGCAGTGAAACTGGATAAACCACAAAAATGAAATATAAAGCCAAAACTGTAAATACAGTATAGTACTGTTTCAGAGTCTAAGTAAATGTCCAGAATAAATCCAATTCCTATTACAATCCATGATATAAAACACAATACTATACCAATCAGTATAGCTTTGTATCTTCCAACCCATACATCAGCTAACAGACCAAATAAAGGGAAAGAAAACCATCCTGAGCACGCCAAAATAAATAGACCATACTGGTACCAAGAGGTGGGGAAATTTTCAGTTAAGTAGCTAGCAATAAAATGTCTTATTAAGAAACTATGAGTAAATATGAGATAGTACCACAATAGAACCAAGACTGCTGAAGGAGAAATACAAAGAAAAGGTTGCCATTTCTTTGCCAAATAAGAAACAAGACAATTTGCCATAGTTGTAACTACAAACTACTGAACAGAATAAAAATAAATTTACTAAAAGTAGAGTTAAGCTTAAAGAGCAAAGCACTTTCAGTTTCTGAATTTGAATATACAATTATTCTTATGGTAATAACACTCATAAAGGAAGCAAAGAACAAACAAATGTATAAACTCAAGGCTACACATAAAAAATCAATCAAATTCCCTAATCCATGAACCAAATCATGATACAAACACAATACTTTAAAGCCTGGTTTCCATTATTACAACAATTGCATGCTAACCACAGAATATATATAACAGCCACAACTATATGGAAACCCCGGCTTAAGTCATAATAAGTACATTTAAGTACATGTATATTGATACAATATAGCTCCATGATACTGTAACTATAACACGTAATTAAAAAACAACATAATTTTTTATTATTGTCATTATTATTGATTTCAATACTTACATACTCCCACGAATAAAAAAGCTGCTCCAACGTCACTGCAGTTTTTGCGACAGCGCAAAAGATCAAGAGCTAAATTGTATCCTTCAGCACAATGTGCACACAAATCACCTAAAAAGAAGAAAAAAGAAAGGACAGAGAGTGCTAATCTTTATAGTGTACATAAAGCACATGCTAGAAATAAAGTTTAAGATTTTATAATACACAGTTTAAAAACAAATTATTCAAGTAATTATGCATTATATTCTGGAATGCTATGGGCTGTGGTCCATAAAATAGGTGACAATTTTTATTAACACAAATGTATTTTGATACAGTGCATGCTTAAGGCTAGATTATAATGACCACATGGACCACGTTAAACTTTGTTAAAAATCTATTGTGTAGATTTTAACAACCATGTTCAATACTAATATGCTGTAATAGACATACCGTAGGCCGGGTTTCGATTGGAGGTTTTTTTTGATTGTGAATTGCGAGTCCGGAATACATCTCGCAATGAAAAGAATCGTAATTAATAATAATTGATAAACGCCACGCCTATAATAATTAATAAGCACCACGCCTATCAATCATTTTCTCTACACGTGTTTCATTTTATAGCATCATTAGTGGTATCCTGTGCTATTTTCAGCCCAAATTACCTGATCTAGTCAAGTCCCAATGCCACCTAACATTTTGAAGGAAGTTAATCAAGCTGTGGCAGTAGCTTTAGATGGCAAAGGAGAGAAACAAGACAATCAGTTAACTTGTGAGTGTGGCTAGCTAGGCTAGCATCTCGCAATTGTTGGAAACGTAAATTAGTTATTTTTTCAAATTCGCAATCTATTAGATACGCAATCAAAACCCGGCCTACGGTATCAACAAATACTATGTACAATACAAGCAAGCATATGCTAATATCTGACCTGTTCTTCCAGTAGCACATTGTTCATTGGGTTCATCAAACTTGAATAAGCATCCTGGGAGATTACGTTCCTGTGTGCAGTTCAAGAAGCCAGGTATAGCACCTCTGAATACAATATCACTGCCATCAGTGTACACCCACAGTCCTTCCTAGTGACAATAAGAAAGATTTGAATAAAGATAAATGTCTCATGTTAAGCCTGGTTTACACTTGCCACAAAATATAACACAAACAAATGTAAAATTAAAATTTGTCTATTTTGTGTCAACTTCAAAGTGTTTTAGCATCAAAAAGTCAAATTTCCCATGCAATTTTGACCATTATGCTGAATGTAAACCTAGCTTTACTATTTCTATGGGTTGAGTATTTTTGTGGTTTGCTCCAATTCATGGTTGGTTGACAGTTTACATAGGGGAGGGATGACACAATTAAATTGAGAACATGAAAGTGCATTTAATAGTATAGTAGCCAAAAATGCAATTAAAAAATATTCAAATGATTACATATACAAGTACTTGTTTCTAAACCACAAAAATAACTGCCCAAACAGCAAAGCTTGATTCTTAAACTTATTATGAGGTGCTGTGAGTGTGATTTCATTACCTGTACATAGAAGTATCTGTTGTAGCTGTCACATCTGACAATCTGTCTCAAGTTAAAGGCACACTCACAACTACTGGTCCTCTCATTAAATGTGTATCCAGGGTGACATGGATCGACCGAAATATTTCTTTCAACTGGAGTAATCTGAAATGATAATAGTTGTATTGATCAAAACACAATAAATGATATTCTACTGAAAGTATACAAAAGCTTATAATACCATACATGTTTTTGGAGCAATTTTAAAATTTCAAGTACAAAAAAATTTTTTAAATAGATTGAGTGGGATTCTAGAGAAAGTTTTAAAAAATATAATGAAAACAAGGACAAGTAGGATTCTGAATGACTGATTATCCATGCCAACAAAAATTCAAAGTCAAAATCGTACTCTCATGACACAAATTCTACTGTAAATTGCAAGGTGATCACAATTACTTACATAATAATATTGAAAATGCAATGTAGAGTAGAATTTGCATCATGAGAGTGGGATTTTATTTTGGATTTTTATTGGTATGGATATAGTCAGTCACTGGAATCCTACTTGTCCTTGTTTCCATTCTAACAAGGACAACCAATCCACACTATACAATTATCAGTTTGTGGTCATTATGTTAAACTGCTAAACCAACTCTTCCAGGAACAGCATTCTTAATATGCAAATTCTTAGAATAGCTAGTGCTTTGAGCTCTTGGAATAATGTCTCTTGACTAGCTTGATTAGTAGGATCACTGAAGGACTGACAGTATAAGTTATGTATTATTCATAACTCATAAAATGAGAGCAATCTATAGAACTTGCGTATACGACAAAAGAATAACACTAACTATGGGTGTGTCACTTCTCACAAGTGTGTATGCGTGTGTGGCTGATATTTGAAGATGATTGTCATATTCTTTATTCTGTTGTCAAGCAGTATCTATGGTCAGTGCTTTTATTATAATCTATTAGATATTAATATTATTAATTATTATTAGTTTCATTAGGTACAGTGTCACTAAACCAGTCCTCTCCATTATATGATATTGTATGTCCTGGAGATACACTAGTATTCACTTGTATTACTAACTATCAACAAGGCGTAGCTGTTGTATGGAATATCAACACCATGAGTCGTACCCTACTATCAAACAGTGTATTGTTCATCAATGGCTTTGTACTCAATATAACTGCACTGAATAACACAGCATCAAAAGTAACAAGTACTGCTAGTGTCAATGTGTCTGCTCCATCACATCTTAATGGTACTATTATTAGATGCTCTGGAGATGGAGTTCATTTTAGTAGTACACTAACTGTACATATTGCAGGTAAGATACATCATGAACCATATGTATCGTAATACTGTATCTATGTATAGGTGTACCAGTATCAGTTATTAATATAAAGATAATACCAATTAATAACAATACAGTATTGATGAACTGGTACTATGGAAAGAATGATGAAGTACACTGTATTCAATATTATAATATTACAATAATCAGTGATGATAATATTAATGGACATATGATCAGTAATGAATCATCAGCAACTATTCCTTCTCTTATTATTGGTACTAATTATTCATTCATTATTATTCCTATTGATACTATTGGAAGAGAAGGACCTCCTTCATCATTAATACAGTATATATGGAATGGTAAGTACTATAAACACACACATTCATTGTATTTCTTATAGTACCAGCTCAAGTTGTTAATATTAGTTGGGATCAGATATCAACTGATAGTATTACAATATGGTGGAATAACATAGTGGTATGTTAAGGTATTAATTCTAAATCGTTAATATTATCTAGGATATGTTACATTATCCTCCAGTACATTACATTATTAGTATACACAATATTACTATTAATACAACTGATACTAATGTAACTATTAATGGACTATATCCCAATAATGAATATACCGTATACATAAAACCAGTTAATGCTATTGGAGAGGGACTACTGATTAACATCACAGGTTTGTTTATTATAAACTGATGAGTATATTTAGTGTAGTGTGTCTAATCTTTAGTCAACATAACTAATCAACAGTCCATTTTAACAACAACAACCACTTTAACTGGTTAGTATAACAATAATATAAAAATTTATATACAAATGTCTACTACATGTGTAAATTATACCTAATGCTTTCTATTTCATATTTTTATAGTTTCAGTTATTGAGAGTTTATCTGATACTATCATCAGTAGCAGTGATGACAGATCCACTTTAATGTCAATATCTCTGACAATCATTGATGATACATTAGTATCAGAACCCTCAAGCAGCATAGAACCATCAACAATATCAAGTTTGTACTAAATAAATTTTATATTATAATACTGAAATCTGTTCAGTGCAATGCTTTTTTACTAACTGACATTTTATTGCAATTTGTAAGCACATAAAAATCATCCAAAATTTTGGTCAATAAGTTGCTATTGCCTAGGACTTATTCATAAATCACTCCAAAAATTACCTTTATTTTTTCAGATGCTTGATGTCCTTATGCTGTGTAGAAAGCGGGCTAGAGCCCAAGGTTTATTTTTTCTAAAAAATGGCTTCAAAATCATCCCAAATTTTTATTACATTTTCTGATACATATTGATGTCTTTATGCTGAGTAGAAAGTTTGAGCTGATTCTGACTTAAATTTTTAAAGCTATGGCCATTTCAAGAAAGCACCAAAATTCTAAAAATTACCCAAGGCTATAGCTCATAATTTTTTCCAAAAAATAGCTCTAAAATTACCCCCAATTTTTATTAAATTTTCTGATACGTATTGATGCCCTTATGCTGTGTAGAAAGTTTGAGGTGATTTTAACTAAGGTTGTGGACTTGTGATCAATTTTAAAATGAGCCAATTTCTGTAAAATACCCCATACTATAGCCCATATCTTTTCAATTCCAAAATTTTTGACATATCTGACTAGTCAACTGCTAAATCACGTTTACAAGTTAGTGACAAAGTTAAGCATGTGGTAGTAAATGCCTATTAAGTAGTTAATTTACACTTTTAAAATAAATTGATATTACTATTATATTTATTAGGCTGTACTTCTGTCACATCACAATCAACAAGTACAGGATGTATCATCAGTGGTTAGTTAATACAATAATGTATGTACATATCTAATGTATCTATTATACATACACACACAGTTGCTATTGCATTACCTATCACTGGTCTATTAACTGGACTCATTACATCAATAATTACTAGCATCATTGTATACTGTATAATGAAGAATAAAGGGAATACATTAAGAGAAAGATCACCAGTAGACATTGGTCCAATATATGATTTACCAACTATCAACAATGAACAACAAGAACAAGTCATTGATACTACACCTAACACTGCTTATGGACAAATTTAATGCTACATTTATAATTTTATTTTGGCAGACATATATTAAAAATAATAGCATAGCAGTATGATGTATCTTGGCACAGCAACTTTTAAAGTTACTATTTTACTATTGGCAAGATAAATTAATAAACAATAAGTATATTATAAATTATAGGTGAATGATGACAGACAATGTTCTGTTTATTCCACAGTCAATATAAATCAAGTATCGGTAAGTACATGGTGCATGTATTGAAATGTTTGAAGTATGCATAAGAGCTTTAAGACATCAAAAGTTTATAGTTTAACTATAGCTTATAATGATGATATTATAAGGAGATTAATGTATTGTATGCTCTTGTATAATTTAATTTGGGAATATTTCATTGTTTTCACAAGAAAGTGTTCAAAAGCATTGATGTACAAAATAATACATAAATTGGGAATCACAATTGGATAATAATAAAACTGTCATGATAACAGTAAGTATAATGTAATGTACATGAATATGTCTCTCTCTCTTTCTATTATCAAAATTTCTTGATGGTCTAGGTTACATATACTCTTGGTTATATTTGCTCTGACATAAACTTCTTCATAAAAATGTATTTAAAATTATTTTAAAATCTCATTCTGTAGCATGTGTGAGTCTGTGTTCATTACTATTAAATTGTGTATATATATCACTATTATCAAGAGTACATAATACCTAAAGTATTATGTACTGTTGCTATTATTATAACAATCAGTTCACACTATACAAACACATGGAATAACTATGGGTGTGTCACAGCTCACTATAGTGCTGTTGACATTTGAAGATGATAATCATATTCTTTATTCTGTTGTCAAACAGTGTCTATGGTAAGTAGTTTTATGGTATTAATCAATTTGTTATCAATCATATTATATTAGTATCATCATTTGGTACAGTGTTATCTTTCAACCAGTCCTCTCCATCATATGATATTGTATGTCCTGGAGATACACTAGTATTCACTTGTATTACTAGCTATCAAGAAGGAGGTGGTGTTTTATGGAGAATCAATGATTCAAGTCGTGTCCTAACCAATAATCATAAGATTAATGGATTTTTATTATCAATTACTGATATTACTAATAATACACTAACAAGTACTGCTAGTGTCAATGTGTCTACTACATCACAACTTAATGGAACTATTATTAGCTGCTCTGGAGATGGGTTTTATTACAGCACATTAACAGTACATATTGCAGGTAAGATACACCATGAACCATATGTATCATAATACTGTATCTATGTATAGGTGTACCAGTATCAGTTATTAATATAAAGATAATACCAATTAATAACAATACAGTATTGATGAACTGGTACTATGAAAAGAATGATGAAGTACACTGTATTCAATATTATAATATTACAATAATCAGTGATGATAAAATTGAGGTACAAATGATTACTAATGAATCATCAGCAACTATTCCTTCTCTTATTATTGGTACTAATTATTCATTTATTATTATTCCTATTGATACTATTGGAAGAAAAGGACCTCCTTCATCATTAATACAGTATATATGGAATGGTAAGTACTATACACACATACACACACACTCATTGTATTTCTTATAGTACCAGTTCAAGTTGTTAATATTAGTTGGGATCAGATATCAACTGATAGTATTACAATATGGTGGAATAACACTCAAGTATGTTGAGATATTAATTCTAATTCATTATTATTATCAATAGGTTGTTACATTACATTATCCTCCAGTACATTACATTGTTAGTGTACACAATATTGCTATTAATACAACTGATACTAATGTAACTATTAATGGACTATATCCCATTAATAAATATACTGTATACATAAAACCAGTTAATGCTATTGGAGAGGGACAATTGATCAACATTACAGGTTTGTTTATTAATGATTAATATGTACAATAACATCTAATTTATGTTTATACAGTTAACATAACTAAGCTACAGTCTGAAATTACTTTGACTATTGTACCTGGTTAGTACTACATAATTTTATAATCATATACTTAATGTACATGTATAATTGTGTACATTAGATCTATTCCATATTTTTATAGTTTCAGTTACTAAAAGTTTATCTGATGCTATCAGTAGCAGCAATGACAGATCCACTTCAACTTTAATATCTCTGACAATCATTGATAATACTTTTGTATCAGAAACTTTAAGCAGAATAGAACCATCAATAATATCAAGTTTGTACTAAATACATTTTATATTTTAATACTGAAATCAGTTCTGTGCAATGCTTTCTTACTAACTGACATTTTATTGCAATTTGTCAGCACCTGGAAATCATCTAATAATTGGTGAAATAATAAGTTGCTATTGCTTAGCCACTTAAGTATTGTTTAAAATCACCTTTAATTTTTCTGATACATATTGATGTTCTTATGCTGCGTAGAAAGTTTGAGCTAATTCCAACTTCAATTTGTCAAGTTTTTGCCATTTTTAAATAGCCATTTTTGAAAATTACCTAAGGCTATAGCCCATAGTTTTTTTCTAAAAATTGGCTCTGAAATCATCCCAAATTTTATTACATTTTCTGATACATATTGATGTTCTTATGCTGCGTAGAAAGTTTGAGCTGATTCCGACTTCAATTTTTAAAGTTATACTACCATTTTGCAAATAATAGTTGCATTAATAATTGTGCAAGAAATGTTCATAATTAAATTGCTCAAAAATCCTCCACCAAAATTTTGTGATAATATCAATTTTACAATTATTAGGCTCTATTTCCATCATATCACAATCAACATGTACAGGATCCATTATTAGTTCTGGTTAGTTAATACATTACTGTATGTACATATCTACTGTATCTATTATACACACACACACACACAGTTGCTATTGCAGTACCTATCACTGGTTTATTAACTGGACTCATTACATCTATAATTACTAGTATCATTGTATACTGTATAATGAAGAATAAAGAGAATACACTAAAAGATAGATCACCAGTAGACATTGGTCCAATATATGATTTACCAACTATCAACAATGAACAACAAGAACAAGTCATTGATACCACACCTAACACTGCTTATGGACAAATTTAATAATACAAATTATAATTCTACCATGCCTACTTGCAATTGACCTATCAGATTGCATCATACAAGGTAAATATAATCACTTATTTACCTTGCGGAGGTAAATATAGCCAACTTATTAAAGTCGCCAAACAGGTTTTCCAACTTTTAAACTTATTATTTTGCAATTGGCAAGATAAATCAATAAACAATAAATATATTATCCTACAGGTTAATGATGACAGACAATGTCCTGTTTATTCCAGTCAATAAAAATCAAGTGCCAGTAAGCAAAAATATGTAATATATACATAAGAAAACACTTTGGGAAATCAAAAGTTTAAAGCTTAAATATAGTCCACAGTGATGATACTATAAAAAGATTAAAGCATTGTGTGCTTTTGTATAATTTAATTTGGGAATAATTTCATTGTTTTCTCAAAAAAGCGTTCAAAAGCATTGATGTACAAAACAATGCGTAAATTGGGACTCACGATTGGAAAATAATGAAACTGTCATTATGAAAACATTATAACTACACAGTGCATATTGAAATGGTGTTAGGTTGAATCAGCTAATAAGGTCCTGCTTTATGCTGATGTAATGATAGCCCCTAAGGACAGTAGACCACAGTGTCCACACACTAGTATTCAACCAGTAACATACGCAATAATATATCAGCCAGAGTAAATGATGGGTTATTGGCCTAGCCTACGCAAGGTATAGGTAGTTGTTGTGTGTGTCTGTCATTCATTCATTCATTCTGTACAACTGAAATTTGTCTTTAATAAACAATAACTTTAGCACAGCGTGTTCTAAGCTCCTAGATCTTTCTTTTTGACTTAAAAAAGTCTTTCTTAACTGTTTTGTGTTGCTCAAATACAAGTTCTAGGTACAGAAGCTTCAAAGTAAGAAAATTGAGTAGTTGGGCCAAGTTCCGTTGTGTTGGCACTTTAGAGATAGCTGGTAGCATTTTTCAGTAGATTAGAACATGGCCTTCAAATAATATGAACAGATTTCTCTAAATCTTACTTGATGAAGAGTTATACTTACTTGAAATTGTTGAGGTCACTCGTTTGTGAAGTGCTAGAGCAACAACTTGCTGGGTTATAGGTACTAAAGTACCTATACTATCTCAAATATACAAAGGCAGCAACTTTTTTGTCAGCAAGTTTATCATATATTGCTGATTAGTAAAGAAAAAGTGAAGCTTCTTTCTCACATGGTCTTCTTGCTGGAATGCCACACCTTTCAATCTAAATGCATGGGAGGGGCTGGAGCTGCTTGCATGTATGTGCTGCAGTGCTGCTACTTCTGCAGGTATTAAAGAGCAAGTGCAACTGCAGGAAGCTAATGTTGAGCAGACTCTCTTCATGCTGATAATCAAACAGCTATTGCAGTGTGGGCATGCACCATAGCAGCTATAGGGGCGAGGCCATGCACCGTAGGTGTCTCGTTGATAACAGTAAGTATATCATACTCTTGACAATAATGTACATGTACATATACTGTTGAAGCTTTCTGGTGCATCACTTGGCACTGAGAATAAATCAAGAAAGAGTAAGTGCATCATTGAAATAGTAGACTCATGGAAGTTTGATGTATGTCTCTTTCTTTCTATAGTTTGAAATTTCTCTTTGATTCCAGTTTACATTTGCTCCAACATGAACCAGAGGTTGCACGTCTACTGGAATTTTCGTGTACTTGTATTTACTTGTATTTTGAAAAAAGCAGGTCGTGTATGTACTTGTATTCAGGCAAACTTTTGTGTATGTACATTTACTTATTGCTTCCCAAATTTGTCTATATCTTAGTGATTTTTCATTTACTTTTCATGTATCCTGTACTTAAATGTAGAGATGGGCGATATCACAAAAATTACTGATGGTTATCACAAGCAAAATTATCATGATTATCACGATTATTATGAATAATAATGATTATGTAATCATTGTATTGATACATGAAATAATCAAATTTAATGATCATGTTAACTTGTTAAGCAATACTTAGGCAGTTCTATTGTAAGTTCCTAGACAAAAAAGTGAGGTAATTGACATTCTTTGGATGAAGGCGACTTCTATGATTATTGACAATGTAGCCACATGTACTGAACATCCG